ATTTAGAACATGTTATAAAGATGCAATTTTATTGTAGGATGTTGGGAGGAGTTAATGGAATGCCATTATGTGGTTTTGCTCTAAATTGGAATATTCCGTATAAAAGGATGTAAAAACAATTACAATCAAATGAAGGCTGAGGTATGATGAAAACAATGTATATAAATACTGCATACTTGATTTAAAAATATGTGATTCGATATGAATTATAGGTGATGACTATGGAAGGGACGCACAGAAGTTTTTGGTAACCAACCGTCACACTTTCTACAATTTGTAATGGAAGATGGTTTTGTGGTTGTTGTTTTTTTTTGTCTGTTTGTGTTCATTTAAAAAAAATTCTTCAAGAAAAAGTTACCACAAAATGGATGATGCCGATTACGGTCATTATTCATGAAGGTCGTAAAGCAAGTCAGTAATGTGATGACCCATTTTATTCATCTTTTTTTGCAGAGGTCATTAAGCAAATATTGTGATCATAAAGTCACTACCATCATAGTTAAGTGAACCTCACAGTTGTTAAATGAACCAACGAGTATAAAGCCAGTTTTGCCCAAAACTGGAAGTAATTCGGGTTTCAGCAAAAAATTATGTAAAAAATTATGACCACGTGATCACTGGATCCTGCAAATAAAGATAAATGCAACCCAATGCCTGCAGTGTATGTTTTGAATTTGGGGCATAAATAGCTTTGTCAGAATTTTGAACATTCACTATGTGACCAGTCATAAGTTGAGCACAATCCAAATGCTCTTCATACAATTATGTAGTTCTGCTTCATTATATAACTTGAGTTGGCCCAATAAAGACATGCCAATAGGTTAGTAATGCAAATATGCAGTTTATTGATTGGGTGTACAGATTTGTGTGCTGTGGCATATTGCTTAAAATAATTAGACACTCACCAATATGCCTACTTGAGAATTGAAATTAGCAAAAAAAATGTCTCAAAGATTGATTTTTCAGGAGCTTCACCTGCATTTTTTTTTTTTTGCTTTCATGTCACTGTTGACTCCTGAAGACTGCCTAGACAAATCCTTGAGTTTTCTTGTCAAG